CCACATAAAAATACAGGAGAAAATTGCTAAAAAATTACTCCCCACAGACACCATTAGGTGTAGAAATAAAGGGAGTATACTTAACCAACAGGCGAACTACGCCAGAAACCTTACCTGGCAGGTGACGTAATCCAGAGCACTGTTTCCCAAACAGAAAGTCTCCCACGAAGATGGGGACTCTGTTAGCCTGGGGAAAGATATCGTGGAAAAACCAGCCCAGTGGCTGGTCATATGCATATCCCCGTGAGTTCTCACAGGCTGCCCGAATTTTCCTCAGGGCTGTTACAGCAGATCTTGCTCTCTCAGGCAGAGAACTGCATGAGCTCGCTGGCTAAGCTGGGGAATAGAAAGATCTACATTATCCAGCCTGTCACCCAGCTCAGCTGTTGACTGAAGATCAATGAAAAGTGAATTTAAAAAAATAATAATAATACCCTACCCTAGTGCTAGAAAAAATGGGAAGATCCCAGCAGGGAGATAGGTCCTTACTCCTTGATGGTAGGTAAAAAACTGAGATGCCTTGGATGGGGGTGTGGCCACCGGCAGGAGCTGCCCTCAGGACCAAGCTGCTTTTTTGTGGTTAGCGTCCTACTCCTGCAAAAGGCGGTATAACCACATCGGTACAAAGATCTAGATCTTAGCTGTGTCCTTCAATGAACGGAAGAGAAACAAGTTTACAAGTCTATATGTTCCAACTCCAATGTCCAAAAGAAAACTATATAAATGCCTTGGTTGGTGTGGGGAAGAGTTAAAACCACTTTTCTTGTTTGTCTTTTTTAAAGCTGAACTCCGAGCAAACTGCTAAATACACACATGAAATCTATACAAGTGTGTTGTTTTACATGCTAGTATTTCTGTGGCTCATTTCTAAAATTACACAAATCTGCCACACAGTATGGCATTTGCTGCAGTTCAATAACCCAACCCCTGCTCTGTGCTTGGCCAGTGAAAGTAGCAGCATAATAAGTTCATCTGTCACTGCTTTGTCCTCCCAACAGCATGCACTTTGCACTGCAGCACAAATAATTTGATCATTGTACTGCTTCTTTCTCATCAAGTCTGAACTGCTGCTATACAGGGACCGCAAGAGGCTGCTACCAAATAAAAAAGAAACATACATTGCTTGAATTAGCAAATATACGATCAGGACACTATCTGCAAGGACTCATGTTCTCCCTGTGCTTGTGTGGGTTTCCTACAGGTACTCTGGTTTCCTCCCACACTCCAAAGACATGCTGCTAGGTTAATTGGCTTCTGTCTAAATTGTGCCTGTGTGTATGTATGAAATAGGACCCTTAGATTGTAAGCTCCTTGGGGGCAGGGACTGATGTTAATGTATATGTGAAGAGCTGTGTAAATTGCCAGCTTTATATAAATACCTGTGATAAATATTTTTAACAACGTTTTCTTCTTTACTGTCAAGAGTTGACAAAAAAAACCCCAAAAAACACACACATTACATGCACCCCCCAGTTCTCAGGCTACATTTTGTTTTTCAAGTAAAACCAAAGATGTTGTAGCTAACATGAGCACTAAAAGAAAAAGCAATTTGCAAAAGCATTTCAAGAGCTTCTCTGGTATTAATTGTTTTTGGACCGCAGTAATGATGCCCAAATGGAGCCTCAAACTTTTAATGAACTAGTCAATATTTAAGCCATGAACCCCTCTAGTGAATTTAACAAATCGTGACTTTTGTTCAGTGTCAGCGCTGTTTTCTGCGGTTTATTAACCGCACCCAAGGTGCTTCCTCTGTGCAACCCTTAACCTAGCAATTACATGCCTGTCAGATCCACTTACTTTTCCTAATCATCATCATAATTATTATTCTTTCCTCTCACTCTCTTCTCAAAATTCTAAAAGTGCAGCTGTGACAAGCATGTCAGGTTCCAGTGTTTCAAGACCTTCTTTCCATCCAAATGGATTAGTCAGTTCTGTTCTCATTCTTACCAATAAGCCCTTGAACAGCGTTTAAAAAAAGAACACAGGGTGACTGGACCTGCAAAGACTGCACAGGTGCTTTACACAAATTAGGTATTACCAAAACATACTCCTTACTAGTTGCCAAGTAGAATGGCTGACCCAAAGGCACAATTGGGTCTGAACAAAAATTGCACTTAACAGGAAGAATCAATTAATTTTCTTTTATTTATAGGTGTGTCTTGAATGTCAGTTAGGGAGGCAAATGATGCACTGAATTTCTTCCTTCCCTGCATTAGATGCTGCCAAATGACATTTGAATAGGAGTACACACATTAGGTATACACAACACAGCCACATAAAAACACATTCTATATAACACACTAAGGGGATTATTTCCAAATCATCCACCCAGCCATATGCTGGCTGAATGACATTCACTCAGCATTTTTGACACTAGATGGAGCCATGGAGCCAAAGAGCAAAGGAACTTCATATGCTCCTTGGCTGCATCTAGTGGCAAGAATGCATGACTGGGCGGATGATTTAAAAAAAAAAGGGGGGGGGGGGGGGGGGGGATTTGGGGAATCAATGTGATGTTAGTTTAAATTCCTTTCAGAAAGCACCAAGGTAAAAGAAGCATGCCTCTAAATTAAACTAAAAAAATGGCATGCACAGGGTACACAATGCAACCTTATTAAACTCTTACCCTTCAGCAAAGTTGCTGTCCTCTCTCCAAGCAGTTATACGGCAAATGAAAAGGGTACTGACATAATCTTGTGATCTGATGACAAAGTCTGCAGGGCAGTCAGCAAGGGGCACATATATACGTGGAAGTCTGTGGTCCATAGGTGAAAATAAAGCATACTTCCTGGCAAGATCCCCATTCTTATCAGTCATAAGTTTAATAAAGCCTGTGGCTGCTCTTGAATGTTTTTTCTCTACAATATAAACCACCTGTAACAAAAGACAACTTGTTATTTTTTTTACTTAATTGAACAAAAATTAAGACCATTTTTTCTTTTAACTTCAGACAAATGAATACTGGTATAAAGTCAATATCAATATCTTATGAAAAACCCAAAATACTGTTTACCAATAGCTTAGCTATTGGTTTTAAAGCTTGGAAGTTTACAGATATGTCACTTCCAAATAAACATAATTTGTGTCATCACCAACTTCTCATGTGCATTAGGGCTTCTGGCAGTGAAATCTTAAGACAGAGTTCCCAGATATACTTAAAACCTTGCTCATAAAAGAAGCTGCACAAGTATTAGTGGTTTATTTAAGTAATTTGACATTATGGAGATCACAGTCAAATCAAAGCAAAAAGAGTGGTATCTTAGGACATGCAGGGGCAGAACTGGAATCTCCAGGAAGGCATCACTGGACCATCAATCCAACAACAATGAAGTTCGTAGTCACCCTCTGTTGTACTTCTCATTATGAAAGTATAATGAAAATTTAGGACAAAAAAACCCCCAAACTTTAAAGTAATAAATCTGCTATATGAATTAGGAATGCACAGATACCAGTATTGGTATCGATACTGGGCATTTTCAAGAGTACTCATGAAAATGCCCTGATACTAAGAGCTGTCGTAAGGTCCCACACTTGCTGGGGACCTCGCAGCGGCTGTTTACAGCGCCGGTCCTGCTGCACATTTCCCCTGCTTCTTCCCACTGCCCGAACAGCCATGCAGTACTCCCAGAGATTCTAATGTCAAAATGACATATCCAAAATTCAGACATTGAGATTACTTACAACCACTTCTTTATCATTAAGCTTCAAAAACTAAATACTGAACATTCTCCAGCAGTAACTAATTATTATAGATTATTTTTGCTTATTGGGAAGTCCATGACGGAGTTACCAGATGCCAATTTCCAAAGTATTGTATCCCTGCCACAAACAACTTGCATATGAGTGGAGAATATTCTTGTAAATATTTGTCAACAGTTATAAAAAAGTGAATATGTGTATGCAGTCACAATTCATATTGTCCTAGTGTTCAAAGTCAACAACTAGTCAAATTGCTTTGTTGATATTACTTCTAATTTCAGGAGTAGATGTAATTCAGCCATAATATTTAAGAAAAAGACCAAGAGCCATTTACCTTTGCAGTCTTCTGAAGGCAATCATCTATCGGGGTATTGAAGTTTGTTTGATTACGGGATGCTTTCTTATCTCCAGTTTTAGCTTTAACATCTAATTTTAATAAAGTAAACCAAAATGGACAGTTACATTTCAGCAGCAGTAAGAAGTTTTCAATATGCGTTCATACAATATGAAAAATATAGGAGACTTAAAGTAGAAGCTGTAGAGCTTAGACAGTAATTCATAAGAGTTTTTCCACTCCAAGTTGCCCATATTTCACACACACTCACAAACTAGAAAGTAACAGTAGGTCCTGATATCACTTGTCACAACTGTCTGGTGCATAAAGTTGTAAAACTAGCCATCAATGAATAAAAGCGCACACCTATCCATGAGATGCAAAGCTGCTCTACTACAACACCACAAAGCTTAATTCCATGCATTATTATTATTATTATACAGGATTTATATAGCGATAGCAAGTTTGCGCAGCGCTTTACAATAAAAGGAAGACATTACAATCACAATACAATTCAAGACAGGATGATGAGGGCCCTGCCCATGAGGGCTTGCAGCCTAAGGGGGGGCAAGTGATACATGAGGAGGTAGCTGTGTGGGGATGAATTGCTGGAGAATGTGATGGTACTGAAAAAACATTAACAAAAGCGGTTTTGCATTAAAGTGACATTAAAGAATACATTTTCCCCCTTAATGTCAGCACTTACCTTAAATGATGTCTCTTAATCCGATCTTCCTCTTTCCCCATGTTTTCATCTGTCCCTTCAGCGGTGCGGCGGGCTCTCCGATCCAGCGCTGACTGTTCTCTGCTTACAGGCACTTCCGATCCAGCGGTGTCTGCAGGTGGGTGCATGCGTCCATAGACTTACCTTGTGTCTCTGCTAGTCTCACGGCCGAGAATCCAAACTGCGCATGCGCCCGCCCCAAGATCCTTTGCGGCCGCATGAACAGTTCCGGACTCTCACCACAGGAGCGCGCAACTATAATGAGGTCAGTCTAAACCGCTGTTTAAGCGGTTTTTTTTACTTTTTGCCTTTATCTACTGCTAGTCAGCAGTAGATATAGGCAAAAAAACGGGAGGCTTTGGAACCCCTTAACAATCACATTTGTAAATGGAACTAGGATAAGTACATCAATCTGACAAAATACCAGCTTTTTGCAAACCCGTGCACAGTAGAATTTAATCAGGTGTACTACAGGGCACATATACGGACAAGGCGGAAGAAACGGCATTTGCAGTTTCACATGCTCTGACAAAAATATGATGAGAGGAAGAAACAGCAGAATGCGCAAAGGGATTGAATAATCAGTAAGCTTCTCCTTTATTGTCCAATCACAGGCTAGGGGTTAGGAGGTGACCAAGGTGAATTGTATGGTAGTGCTGTTTAAGAACTTACCCTTAGGGCTACACACGCACTGCAAAATGCCAAGTGCACGTTTTGTCTAGAGGACTCAAAACAGATTTACTCACCTGATTGCCTGCCTTGCCAAGTCTTTCCAGAAGGCTAGACAGACCCCGGCAAACCTCTTCTACTATGGGCTCCGGCACTCTTAGAATCTTAGACATCATAGCTCCTTATGCAGGTCAAGTGACCTTCATAATTTTCTAAAAGGTGGTTTCTGTAATGCCAACAATATTAGATTAAGGTCCCACAGTGACCGCAATAGACTGACCGGAGTGACAATGCGAATAAACCCCTGAATCAGAGTGGTCAAGTGGCCGTGATGCCAGTGGACAAAAAACAAAACTGCAAACAATGAAACTAGACGACTGAGTTGCCCAAAGCCGTAGAGAGTGTTTGGCCAACAGTAGGAGCCACCTCCAGGGTTGCTTTTTTTTTAATGCATCAATCAACTTATTCTTTTAAGTTATGATATACCCAATCGCTCAATATTTAAAGCAGAGCTGTGTCTTCCAATGAAGAAAAAAATACTTTAACAGTTAAAGATAATTTTCAAAAAACACAAGCCCTTCAAGTGGAAAATCAAATTGTTTCACCAAATCAATCTTATTTTGTCTAGAAGGCTCACAAACAAAAAATCATTTGAAACTTTCAAATGTGTGACTAAGTTTATTAAAATTTAATGCTAACGATACACCTCTGATAAACAAGTCACCATCCCCAACTATTAGACATATGATAAATACTGTATGTACACATAAGACCAATTTTAAAATCAAGTATTAGTACATGAACACAAAACGGTCCAGAGGCAGCAGGAAAAGCAGGGACCATGCCCTAACCTTGCTTCATTTTTATAAGTAGCCAAATACTGATTCCAAAAGACTACACCTCATTTGTGTAAAGCAAGTCAAATTTATTCACATGTTCCACTAAAAGCCAGACACTTAGCAACATTCTCATTTGACTGCCAAAAAGTCCAAACCACCTTTGCAGTCATCATAACTCATCCCTATCACGTTACAGTACAATTTGGGAAAAACAGCCTCTCCTGCATAATCTTTTTAATAGACAAAAACAACATTACACACTTGACCTAAGAACTCTCACACGAGCTGTGCTGAAATATTTCCAACCACCACCATCATATTACAAAAGCTGGAGAGAGATCTATAAAAATCATATGCCAAGTCTACCAGAGTTACAACAATCTCATGTATACACATACCAGTTCCACGAGAGAGAAGGGAACAATACTGAAGTTCCTTGGAACCAGATAAGTTCAAAACTATTTGTAGATATCATAAGTGGATTAAACAGCCAATTATTTTCCATGGTACATGAGAAATACAATATTTAAAAAATGCTATACATATCACATACAAACCTCTTAAAAATGTGATGATTGAAAATGCAAAAATAGATGCAAACTAACTTAAAGACCTTTATAGGGGGAAGTCAATAATGCCTTAACGGCAGCAGGCCGTGGGCGGGTGCCATGGCACTTGCCCACTGTCAATTAGCTTCAGAGTGGACCTGATGGGGAACTCCGTTCTCTGAATTCTTCATCATGTAGATACACAATGGAATTATAAAGAGTTTTGCAGATGCATGTAAATGAGATTAGATGCTAGGATTTGGTACCAGATGCATCTAAAAACACATGTAAAAGCACAAACGCATGTATATGCACATAAACAAGTCATGTAACACATCTAGAAGTATAAACAGCATTTAACCCGACAGATTTTTCTTTGCATATAGAGCACAAAAAAGCAAGTGGCAAGTGTGAATGTAGCCTAAAGCTGGCCATACGCCTATAGATTATCTGCAGATTTTCTATGATCAGAAGTAAAAAGTGCAACAGATTCCTCCATCGCCGCTAAACCTTGTGGATGGAGGAATCTCCCCCTGGGCCAAGCTTCAGTATCTTGCTATGTTGCAAGCAATGTTCAGGTATTTTGAGAGCCAGCGGGGCCGACTAGCAAGATACTGAAGCTTGGCCCAGTGGGAGATTCCTCCATCCACACAGTTTAGCCTAGATGGGAGGAATCTGTACCATCTGACCATAGAAAATCTGCAGATAATCTATAAAAGTGTATGGCCAGCTTTAGTCATTGCTCCCCTCAGACAGATAGCAGGCAACAGGCCGTCATCTGCCGACTATCGTCCGTTTTTTTACTACGGGCGGACGGCAAGAGGTTAATAAAATATTTTTTTTCCGGTCTACATTCATGCACTTAAGCAATGTAGTCATGGCATTTCGCATAGTGAGTTTCACGATTGTAACAGTGGATCATGTCTGTTTAATGTGTTGAAATTGTCACCTGTACTCTCCATCGAAGCCCATCTCACTGGATGACAAAAGGAACACAACTGTAATAAAAAAGGCACACAGTGCTGGCATCCTATAACAGGAAGTGCTTATACAAGAACCCATATGCTACGATCACCAGGGGTTATTTTAATAAAAGCAGCAGACTGAAAAAATTTTTACAATTACTTTTAAAATTACATTGCGATTTAAAACCTTTGACAATTTTAGTGATTTCATTTGCATATACTCTTAATTGCCTGGATTTAGACTGGACTATAAAAAATGTAAATAGTACTCTACAGTGTTGGCTAAATATTGCCAATACCATGTATAAATGTCACTTGCTTGTGTTTCAAATGAGCACTAGTAAAAATGACAATACTGGCAAGGAACCTTATTTATTATGTTTTAGCAAATATTTATGGAAAGTCTTTAATTTTCTAAAGGCTAAAAATTATTACCTCTCCTAGTTGGTTAACTGTTAACTGTATGAACACCAGCAATCACAGTTCAATATTTAAAAAAAAAAAAAAAAAAACCTTGCTAGTTACATGCCATTGCTAAAATAAGTGATTTGCCAGTCTCCGCCTAGCATGTTCACACTGGCAAAAGCTGTGCTTGGGGCTGTTGTTTCTGGAAAGCTTACATTACTCATTGTGCAGCAACCTTTACTTGGGCAATCTTGTACCCTGCTGGAACCCCTATCATTTCCTAAAAGGCCACACCTTGGGCAATGTGCCACATTATTGTTCATTTATAAATAGTTCTGTTCCTGCAGTGAGAATATATTGAATCAGCTGAAGCTGAGCTTTATCTGTAAAAATATAATTATTTCTGACACAGAAGACATAGCAGGATGGAGAGACAGACTCCAGCAGGGTTTCACCTCAGAAACGTTAAAGAACATGATGTATTGTGTCCCAGCTCACAGGATGCTTGCTATAATTTTTTTTAGCACAGTGGTCAAATACTAGAAATCCAGGCAGCCTTCAGCCCCATTCTTCAACTGTTAATACTCGCACACACAGCTAGAATGCAAAGCATAGAAAATATATGTGATAATCAGGGCGAGATGCAAGACTGACCTAAAAAAAACATGACCATTAAAAAATTCAAGGCCGACAAGACTTAAAACAAAGTTACCGTAACACTAAAGGGGACATTTATAAAACAGTGATGATATTCACCACACATTCACTGCAGGCGTATCTTTGTGGTCCATGTATTTTAAATGAAAGCAACCGATTTACCTGCATTGAATGTGTAGTGAATGTCACATTTACCGTTTCATAAATAAGCTCTAAAGTGACAAAACATCAATTATTGACCAGGAAATCATTCCATACTTAGAGAGAGAGAGGAGAGAGAGAGAG